CCCTACAATGACTTCGGAGGATTGAGGATGAATGGAGTTATTGGTGTTCAGTGTGTTTCACAGTACTGTGCAAATGCATGTACAGTCTCTAGTCAGCCATGAAGTGAGAATTGAATAGAATTGCTATGATATTGAGCCCTATAATAATTTAGGAGGATTGCGGATGAATGGAGTTACTGGTGTTCAGTGTGTTTCACAGTACTGTGCAAATGCATATACAGTATCTAGTCAGCCATGAATTGAGAATTGAATAGAATTGCTATGATATTGAGCCCTATAATAATTTAGGAGGATTGCGGATGAATGGAGTTACTGGTGTTCAGTGTGTTTCACAGTACTTTGCAAATGCATGAGCAGTATCTAGTCAGCCTGTAACACATGTACACTGTGTATGTATTACTGTGTTCCACTGGTTCAAGGACAAGACTCCCATTGTTTTAGCTGTTAATGGTCAGTCAAGGCTATCCCCTCACTGCAATGTGTTTAGACCAAAATTTTATGATTTTGAAGGATTGAGGATGTGAGCACCACTCATTTTGAGCAAAGTACAAATATTTTGAAGATTTTGGAGGATTGAGGGTGAATGCATTTTTGAAGTATAGCAATTTGATGATTTTAAAGGATTGAGGATGGTGCCCAGCAATTTGGACTTAAGGGATTAGGGTAAATTTCTTCATTTAAATCTAAATTTGTTACATTTTGACAAAAATTAACACAAATACAGCTAAATTTGATTGCTTTGGAATAGATAATTACGCTGACTCATCTCAAATTCTGATTTCAATTTGAAAAAACACTACACTTCACAAAATCTGAATTCCCCCCCCCCAAAAAAATTTAAAAACAAATTGCCAACGCTGTTTTATACAATGTACACACATGCAATCAGCTGTTGGCTTCTTTGCATTGTAAACTGATTTACCTGCCTCATCTTGTGGGATGTCTGAAGGCTTTTACATAAACAATGTCCAATGTGAGTTATAGGCCTCAATGTCACATTATATGGCTTTCAAGCACATGTCTAGAGTCAAGGCCAGTCTTAAGAAACAGGGTGAACAATGACAAAGAATGATCTTGTCACAGCTCATTTGAACACCTTGTGAATTGGCTTAAGATTGAATGACTTGCAATGGATTTGTGATGGACTTGCAGGGACTTGTGATGGACTTGAATACAACATTGGGGACAAGATGGGAACAGCTGCTCCCTGTAGCTATATTGTTGGTTTAGACCATGTTGGTAATGGAAATGGTACCACTTGGCACGATCAGCAGAATTATTCAATCTTGCAGCACGTTCTGTTCATCATTTCGCCACTTTTAGGACAACATGACCATCAGTCAAAGTTCAGTGTACTAGATGCATCTTTAGATCCATACAAATACAGTACTTCTTCTATCCATGACCAATCTTTCAAGCAATGACAGAATATACATGTATATGCATACTATTTTTGCATAATGTCCTTTTTTATTTTGAGGCATAACCTGCATGTACATGATCAAAACTTGACACAAAGTCCTTTTTGTGCTTTTATTTCTTGTGGGCACTGATGTGCCAAGCACAGAGATCACTGCCTGAAAAGAAAGTGTTAACATTGCAACAGCGCGCTCATGTACATGTACATAGCACCCAACAGCTTTTGCTTATCGTTCCTGCCTTTCAGGCACAAATAATGAGGAGCCCTGTAATTCGTCAGTATGATCCCCAGTGTGCCGCAGCCAATTGCCATTTCAACCATTCAGTCCAGTCGCAGCTAAGAATTACACACACATACGGAAAGCATCTGAAGCCAATTTCCATGTCCTGTGTGCAGGTTGCAGCCGTAGTCAACCATTCGGTTGCGGCTCGTCTTTGCAAGAACACATGTGAACCGCATGACTCTCCGACACTGACCAAGAAATATTTGCACCTTTTTTTGGAAATCGGCATGGTTTTGGCCTGTTTTTTTCTTGGTACTCAGTACAAAGGTGTAGAGCTTAAATTACTTTTTCATTTGATCTATGACTCGAGGCATTTGACTAAAGCACTGTCAAGCCTTGTTTTGGTTTGTGACGACTACAAAGAGGTGACCAAAAATGTGCATTTTTCTGTTGAAAATCCCCCAAAACATGTATAAGGAGTTGATGAAGCATACATGTATGAAACAGTGTTTATTTGGAAGCTTGGAATTTCAGGAAGAAAAGGAAGTTGTTATTTGTCAAAAATCGATGTCAAACTGGTGCCGAACAGGCCTTTTGTATTGGGATGCTGTCGCACAGCTGTGGACATACACTGTATATGGTGTATGCATACATCAGATTGATGCATGGTGCACAGGGAGCAAGATGCAAATGACAAGTGCATAAACCACATATATTGTTTCAATCCAACACTATCAAAAGACCCTGTCAAACATAAACAGACTTTAAGTAACTTATGATACCTGACAGATTTGGTCCCCTATTTTTATATTGATGACAAAATATCACATCAAAACTATGCTTCAGTGATCTTTCACACATCACTGAAAATTTCAAGCCCAACTCAACTGTCCTGTTTAAGTATACATGTACATGCGTCCTATGGAAAAAATGTTGCATCCTGACTCCACTTCAGCAGTTGTGTACAAAGTCTATGGGGAGTGAATAGAATTGTTTAAGTATTCCCCAACAACATCATTAAATGTTTCTCAGTCCAGAATTCATGTCTTTCCAGCATTTCTGTAATGACCGACTTTTATTGAGATGATATATGATGAGAAAAGTGGAGTCAGGATGCAACATTTTTTCCCATCCTATTAGTATGGATAAAGTTCTCCATAATGAAAGATATATTGTTTACTTTACACTTCCTCTGTGACTAACTACAGATCTTTGTCCAGCTCTGGCATGTCTGGAAGTGGAGCTATTAATGACGAACAAAACTCTATCTGGTTCAAATACATTGATGAAAATAAAACTTGTGTCCATCCCCAAAAACATGAAAAAGTGACGGGCTAATTACACCTAATTTTAATAAGAAAAAAATTTATAACTTCACTATACTATTACCTATTGAGCTAAATTTTACACCATTCAATTTCTTTTGATATTCTCTTTTCAATGGTACTAAATTTGTGGGGGTCAAATAAAAAACCTGAAAAGTGTCGGACCTCATCTTAAGTTAGAACCCTGTTTCCTACCTCCATGGTTAGAACCTAGGCTGTAGACGTCAGTGGATATTAAAAAAGACTGCCGTCCAACCTTGGCTACCTACCTGCGTACCCTTGCCGGCGCCGGGCGGTCCAAGCAAAATCCCACGTACACCTTCCGGTGTTTCCGCTGGCTTGGGAACCGGTTGAGCTTGAGGTACAGGTGGCATGATGACGAAAAACCCAAGGGAAATTGATTCAACTGACCGAATCCAGTTTCCAGGCGAAAAGAACTCTACATATACAATTCACGGTGAATAGCCAAACTTTAGGACCAACTCACGCGTTGCGCATTGCGTGGCACCCAGTTCGTGCACGGGGCATGCACAAGACATGCGTTGCTACGTAGTCAGTTGACCTATTTTCAGTGTTTAAGAATCGTTTGGCAGTGTACTGGATACTAGATACAAGTATGGTCGTGTCCAAACCGTGTCTATGTCTTTGGCTTTCTGCTACAACTGCATGTATGTTAATGTGGTGAGCAGCTGCAGCCGTAACAATAATGCCAGTTCCTTAGACGGCCGGTGACACGTGACTTTTGACCGCTGATATGACATTGACTGTCTTGGTCAAGAAATTGACAACAAATTCTACTTTTTAAATACCATTGTGAAAATTATTGTTGAAAATTGAACACTTGTACATTTTGCTGGTGATTTTTAAATTGCTGGTATTTACTTAATCAACTGAAAATTTCGTTCATTGTACAGTACTAGCCTAAATGCTAGCCACAAAAGTGGAACCTGGAGGTACAATTATACAAGTATAAATGTAACTAAAGTTGTGCTCGTAATCAAACTTCACTGAAACTATAATAAACGCCCATCGTGGGCTGTATGTAAAAGTGGCATCTTTATTGAGCTCTCGTTGATATGCATGTAATTGTTGATGTTTACTACTAGATGCACGGTATTTGCTTTGAGGCATAGTGCGTCACAAAAAATTTCGTCAGCAGCGAGTGTGAGGAAAGAAGACCAGCGCCATAGCCCCGCCCCCAGGTCCAGCGTACGACCAGGCTAAATCACCAGCTCATTTGGCCGAACTGTTCCCTTGATAAACAAGAACAAATCATGCACTTCTCAATCCCTGACACTCAAGATATTAACGAGGGGAATAGTAATTATACCGTGAGTTCTCGTTTTAATCATGTTTTCTTCAAATATGTTAAATTTGATAGCAGCCTATATTGCATCATCTGATCATGCAAAGATGTCTGCATGTCGTGTTGCATATTTTAAAGGCCCATCATGCCTATAAAAAATAAAGCATTTTAGGGCCTATGATTGGACATCCTTAAACAAGTGGATTATTTTCTCAAAACTACATTTTGTTATTTCTAACAGTAAATGTCACAGTGTAGCATTATGTATCATGGTTTTGTTTCATTTTCTTAGTACACATACCCACAATTTATTTATTTTTTTAATTTCATTTCTCGGGAAACACTGGTAAACAAAACAGACAGTAAGACGTAAGTGCACATGATGGAACAAAGGACAAAACACAACCAGCCCCCGATAGATTGCCCCAAAGAAAAAGATTGCTGTCAAGGGGCTCTCCAGACTGATTGGCTTACAAACTTACATAAACAGTTATGTACATGTAGTTACTATTAAAGTATGAGTTTCAGATTAAGGATAATGGAGTGACCATGTACTCAACCTGTAGTTTGAGGACTGTCAAGAATACTGGTACAATTTTGCAGTGCATATTTTCGCAGGATAACAAACTTAATCACATATGGAACAGTCATAGTGCAGGCCTAACCACTAGGCCTTCTCCATCATTTATGATTTTAAAAGCATGCCATTCCTGGATATATCGGCAACCCATACTGTCAACTCTTTTATTCTTTCTTCCTTGCTCTATATCTATGTTCAGAGTTACAATCTTCATGTGAATGGTGTTTTCCACTGCTCACTGCGTTTCTCCCAGCTTCATGACTTTCAGGAGCAAGTCAAAAAGGAATTCGGTACATCCTTCTTAGGAACCCACAAGTTCCCTCCAAAGAAGCTGCTACCACTAACGCCGTCACAAGTGGAAGAAAGAAGACAAAAACTGGAGAAATACATTCAACTCGGTATGATCCGACGATTTCAACCTTGGGCCAGATCTTTCTTTATCGATTGACTCGGTCATATTCATTGCTAAACAGAATCTTATACTGATCAAAAATTAGCTGAAAATGGTCACATCATGTAATTGTTGCTATCTGTTCCCCTCTGCCCCCCAACAAACCTTGTCTGGGGTCAACTATCTTCATGAAACTGACCTTTAGACTGAAGGAAGTGTGCCAGGAAGGTACAGTGTAGCTCCAACCTGTAGAAAAAACTTATTTGGACTTTGAATATCAGTAGTTGGCCAAGTATGTTTTCTGGATTTTTTTTTTAGTCAGTCAAGATCAGAAGATTGCCAATAGTGACCTCTTCAATGGCTTCCTGCTTAGTGCCCAAAAAGAAACTCGGCGTGAGACCCCCATGGAAGCCAAACTTGATGTGTACCTGATGAACGGACACAAGATTACTGTCAACATTATGTCAACAGACCAGACTGATGATGTGTTAGAGGTAGGATCCATTCTCAAGTTAGTCTGTCAAGCCTAAGTCCCTGCCTGGATGTAAGTGGAAGTGTCTCAAGCCAATTTATTCACTGTGTCTGGGACATCTGATTGTGCGCCTAACATATCAAGCCCCTACCAAATTGACTAAAGTCCGAGTCTGAACATCTGTCTGATTATACTGTTTGTGTGTCTGTCTGTTGCTTTGTAGGTTGTTGCATCTGAGATTGGTTTAAAGTCAGACTTTGTTTACTACTTCGCTTTGTTCCTTGTCATGAAAGACGAAGATGATGAACGAGGAACAAGTAAGTTGGGACTTGTTCGAAACATTTCTCCTAACTGGAATTTGTGTTTAATCTGTACACATTCTTTTCAATGACTGATAAAATCCATGTGAATCGATTCTTGCACTTTTGCTCATTTTTGTGCAGTTGTTCGTCGTGTACAAGATTTTGAATCACCTTTTATCTCTCTGAAGTCTGCTGTTGGCAAGAACAAGATTGTCCTCCGCAAGAAGTGAGTTAGACCAGAACCTTAAGCTGATAATAACTTCACAGCATATCCACACTGCTCCAACTCCAGTGGCAGACCTGTAACAGACAAAAAGAGATTCACACTTGGAGCACTCCACAAAAAATGAGCAACATGAAATGTCAAGTTTGATTTCTTTGAAATACATTGTTGTAAACTGTTAATACCTTATTATATTCTGCAGTTACTGGGATGCCACATATGACGATGATTTGATACAGGACAGTGTAGGCCTTCAGCTTTTATATGTACAGGTGAGCCTACTTGAGTTACATACACCTGTAGGTTATAAATACCAAATTAAGGTGTTAGTGTTGAACAGTTTTGCAGATGATGAGACACCCACCTTGATTTCTCTTGCAAAGATTGTCATGTCTGCAACTAGCTTTCAGAGCTGTGCCCCTTAAATTTGCAACTGGCAAGGACCTTGAACCAGCTCTGGACACAAGATAGTCATTTATAAGATTCTACCTGTCTATACTCCACGTGAAAATTGTGATGTCACAGTTTGTTAATTCAAAAGTTGATTAAGTTGATTAACTATTTTTACTTAGGTGCTTAGTGATATTGAGAGAGGATGGGTGCAAGCCAGCATGGATCAGATCAAGAGATTGGAAACACTCAAAGCTAAGGGTTCACGCAAGGAGGTAGAATGTAATAACTATTCGGGAATACAGTAAATGAATAAATGAGTCCACGTTTTGAGTCATGTTAGTCCAGGTCTGAGTTTTAGAGATACCAGATTAATCAGTAGTTCTATAAATATCCAGGCATGTGAAATGTCTGTGTTTCTTTGGGTTCTGCGCTTTTAAGTTCCCCACCCCACTTTCTGGATAAAACTACTAAAAAACCCAAGACTTGAGACTTGAGTTAAGTTTTGTCCTTGAGTGGGTTGGAACCCCTTCACAAAAGTTGGCCCGTGACTGGGTCTATTATGTGAAGCTGCTGTCATCCTCATTCACTTTGATTCATAGAGCTTGAGTTGGTTTATTTTTCAATGGAAGAATACAATAGTTAAGTTCAGTAAAGCTCATTGTAAAGATGTTGAAATTCTTAGATTTGAAGTTGTCAAGATGGAGTCCCTGATGAAAAGTTCTGAAGACTGTGTTTCTTGGGTTGATTTCTCAATTTCCATATGGTATTGTTTATCAGTATTTGCAGTTTGCCAGGACACTGAAGGACTATGGTTTCATCCAATTCAAGCCTTGTGTGGTTGATTACCCAGCACCCAACACACCAGCTGTTATCAGTGCTGGAAACCGAGAGTTGGTCTTCAGACTTCGATTAGAGGACGGGGCAATTAAAGAAGGCACCTTCAAGATAACACGTATGAGATGTTGGAGAATTACCTCAGTAAGTTTATGCTAAACTTCTCTGTCAGCCTTACTCTCACTTGAACTCGCTCTTGCCCTATGCCTAATCCTTTCAGGTTAATTATTGGCAAGGGATGGGGTTCACCTATCGGCAAAGCCTAGAGGGTGAGACGTGGGAGATGTGGGGACAGCACAACACAGATGGGTTACTGGAGGATGGCCACATTGTTTGTGAGAAACTAATATACTGTGGAACGCTGCTATAACAAATACGACGGAGTCCACGCTAAATGTTCAGTACAGCAGTTGTTCGGTATAGCGAAATTAATTGCCGAACGTTTTGTTGCCAGGTTGAATAGTGCCCTCGCTTGTCTAACTGAAATGCACCCTTTTGTGATACTATGATTTCGCTGTTTTCATGATGTTTTGCCGTTGCATTCATGTTTGAGGTTTCAGAAATGTATCTGGTAATTATTTTTCTTGTTTATTAAATCTTGAGTTTCAAAATTGATATTTAGTTTATCCTAAAAGTTGTGAAGCTACTGCTCAGGATCGATCTCTGATGCATGCTGTGGAAAATCTCAGTTGATTTGCAACTGCATAATGTTCGGTAGGTTTTGTGCACAAAATATTGGGAGCCAAGGACGATGTTCGGTACAGCCGAATGTTCGGTCAAGCAATTTTCGGTATAACGACGTTCCACTGTATATACAGTGCTGTCTTTGACAATTAGAGTTAAGAGTCCTTTGCACATATGAAGCATAATGATACTAAAAACTCCACACCAGTCATTAAGAGAGCAATGTGATGAGTAGTTATGGAATCGCTCTTCAGCGTCTCTTGGATGGTGTTCACTTCCTCAGGTCAACCAAGGGGATGATGCCAAGGTTGACCCAACCCACCTGGAGCTAGCCTTTGAATACCTCATTGGCAGAAACAAACTGCAGTGGATCACAATGACGAGTGACCAGGCTATCCTGATCAGCCTCTGCCTGCAAGACATGGTAGATGAACTACTACTGAAGAAGAGAGGGGGTCGTATTAAGAAGGTGAGTGTCTACCACCCTCAGCTTGGCAACATCTTGGATCTAGCCCACCCTGCATTTTATAGGACTCATACCTGTTTATTGCCTTTGGGACGTTGGACATATGTATGTCACAGTTTATTGTTTCCTGAAATGTGTTTGTTAAATATTAAACAAAATCTGCCCAATGTAAACTCAGAGAAGTGAAAGGTTACTGTCCTTAAAAGTTGCATTGGTTGCCTCAAAACCTCAGAGTGGTTAATTCTCACAGTCCTAGAGTCTCTAAAATCCACTTAGAGACTTTGAAGGATTTTCTGTGATTGAGGAAGGCAGAGCCCAGCTAGTATTTCTTTATGTAAGGCTTGATGCCTCTTGAAAGTTGAAGAGAAGTGTCCCATTAGTTTACTGTGTAGTTTAGGACAGTGCAGGATTTAGGAAAGTTTTGAGCCATTGATGATCATACACGTTTGGACATGCTGTGGTTCTGATTCTAGCCACAAGACAGAGTGAAAGGACCAGAGAGGCAGTTTAAGGCCAAAGATGGTGGAGTCATTGTGGCCTCTTCAACCTCTACCCCAGGGCAGTCTGATCCCACCACACCACCACAGGTAGAACGCATTCTTGGAAAACATGCAGCAATATAATGCAATGATACGTCGTTACTCAAGTTTTTATTTGTCGTACATTTGATTTAGGGCTTTGATTCTCATATCTGTTCATTTCTTTGCATTTGTCAACACTTTCTGTTACTCCATCATAACAACATACTTCGTCCACTACATACCTCACTCATAAATATATAAATCAATAGAGGAATTCATCCAGACGGCAGGCAAACCAACACATAGGTCTCTTCCACGAAATTTTAATTTCTCCATACAAGGTCTAACCTTTCCAAATCGATCAAAATCCTGGGCTTTGGAGGATTTTAAAGGATTGTGGAAGGTAGATCCCAGCTGCAAATAATTCACATGAGTCATCTTAGTGCTCCTTGGAAATCCAATGAATGCGCCATCGGTTACCTGCACAGTGGAAGATTTTGGAGGATTCAGGAATATCACACAGACTTTGCAGTTGGTGAGACAAGGACGTGCATAAATATTACTCCTCACTCAGTTATTACTCCCATTATTATTACTTATTATTTATTGCTGGTAATGAGACCAAGGATTCCTCAAAAGCGCCCTAGGTTCTGTCGCTCGCGAGCCTGAAGAAACGTGTAGAGAGGAGACTAAGAAGCAGTTGCAGTTTGAGAGGTGGGAGGAAAACCCCAGAGGAATGTGCTGGGTAAAACCCATGGAATCAGGTAGGGACTGAAAACCCAATCCACATGTGGACTGAGCCTACAATCGAACCCGCACTGCGAGGAAAGAACTACAAAATCAACCCAACTCCCCATGGTTCACAATCTAATTAAAGTAGCAAGAAATCCTCTCACACATAGCACCTTCATCTCCTTCATTATATTCTTTTCAATCCACTTCATTCTTCATCAGACTTCCACAGACACAAGTCCATCTAAGACATCCAAGACTAAGGGATCCGTCAAGAAAATCTCAGTAAGTATGACTATGATGGCTGGATGCCGTTGATTTGGAGCTAGCAAAACAGTGACACAATCAGGTTTCTGGCCAGCATGCAGATTGTGTTCCTGTTTTTTATAACCTTTCTTGTGTTTGCACCAAACTTTGCCAAACAGTTTTGATCATGTTGAGAGGTGCAGATCTCAAGTAAATAAATTGCAGTAATTTTTTCAGATTATTTAGTTTCTATACCTAAAACGTTTCATAACGGGACTCAGAACTCAAACCCGAGCACTACATGAGTAGCATTCTCTTATCACCTGTGCTTTACTCAGAAGGTATTATACTCCAACTTGACTCACACCTTACATCCATAGTGGTCATCATTGCTTGATAATCAGAAACACGAGTTGTTGATTGTAGTACTACATGATGATTTGATACCTTTATTGTCCATACGGAAATTTGTCTTACACTGGATTTTGAACACAAAATATTATACAATATTTCCCCACAACAAGATACTTCATATCAACCCTGTCGCAGAATTCGCAAAAACACATTATAAACTGTATGATTCAAATTTACTGGGTTTTACAAATAGAACAATTAATTTTCACATAAAAGTCATAACTGTACTGAATTAATTTACCCTTTTGCTGATACAAAGTTGTGTTTTGGCCTTATCCTGTTAGGTTGTCCTTATTCCTTGTTGAAGCACACGTTTTTTACCATAGCACAGAGGACAAGGTGTTATGTTTCCTATTGTTCCAATAACACTCTTCCATGGCCAAAGCATGGACAGAACTCAAGAAAGGTTTGACAACCAAGGACATGTCTGTCCTTTGTAGTAAAGAACGTACCCTCATGGCATCTACATGGTGTGTTCATTGGCTGATATTGATGTATTTGTTGTAGGACAAGTTACAGTCAGTCGTCGTATCACCGAAGCAGAGTACACCAAAATCAGTGGTCGAGAATGACATCTTTGATGCAGGAATTGGCGAAGATGACTTGTAGAAGTCTACTCAAGAGTTGTAGCAACAGATGCTGTGAAAGGCTTGCGATCAGGGCACAAGATGGCTCACTTGTGTATTTTTGCATGTAAGATTTTATGTTTTCAGTGTGTCCAGATTTCAAACACTCATTGCTTACTGTATAATTCTACTTGTACATGCATGTATATGGCTCTATGAGTCTACAGAAAGTGTTCTCTACTTAAGTGATGTAAGCAAGCATTATTATTGCATGTTGGATACAGCTTGCCATCAAGGGGAAAGAAATATAAAAGACTAGAAGTTCTTTCTTTGTTTTCATGTGTTCAGAAGTGGCAAGTGGTAAAGGCATCCTGTGGCTTCTACAAAATGTTGGTGTATTTTTGTATTTTATTGTAAATTACCTTGAGAACTTTTGTGTTACATACAACCGAATGTTCTGTTCCGAAACTTGATTTCCACCGTATTGTTCAAGTACGCCTAGCATTAATACAGGCATTATGTTCTTGACAGAGTAATAACTGATTTTTCCTGCCACATCAGCTCACAGATTTTAAGTACTAAAAAGTAATGTTTGGAAATCTTTAGATTTATCTGCAGTAAAGCACAACTGTTTTCATTTTATGCCTATCACTTGTATAAACTAGGGACTGAAATAAGACTTTGTCCAAAAGCGGCCATTGCCACTAGCTTGTGGCTAGTTGCAATTATTCCCCATACACTGGGATAACTCCTAGCATGATTAATTAATTTAGATACAGCTTAATTCTTTTGGAGTGACATGATACACACTTGAGTTATTTGTCCCCTCAAATCATGGTCAAAAGATAAGTCTTCCAGTCATTGCCGATGTCTTGCTGCATGCTTCAACAAATCATCAAAAGTCACAATTTGCATGACTGTTTTGTATCGTTTTTAGTGATTTCATCCAGGTATCTGCTGTCATGCTAAATGCCACCAGAGTTCTGTTGGATTTGGTGAAATTCATATGTAAATGTTGAATATAATAGTAATTACTGGAGGAATCCAAACTATAGTGTAGGGATGAAAGCAAGGTTTTTGAGAACCAGAATTTTGACATTTTAGATATCTGAAACTTTGTACATGAAGCAGAAAATGGACTCGGACACCTTGTAAAAGGCTGTCTAAAAGAAGGCCAGAAGCTGAAGAGAAATGATCAGGGATTTTAAAACTGGAGTTTTTAAGTGGCCATAAGTTAAGGTATATAGATTAGAGAAGCAGAAGAGAAAAGAGGCCAAATGCAGCCCATGTTGAAGTTTTGAAGGCATGACCAAAACATTAGTTTTGTGCCCAACAGAGGATGTCCACCGAAAATCATGTACAAAATACCTTGATACATATTCGAAAAAGTATCATAAGCACTATTTTTCAAGGAAAGGGCGAGTTTCCATTTCAAGAAATTGACCGTTTGGCTTCCATATATTTATTTTTTGTATTCGCATATACCTTTAAGGCAATAAGGAGATGTTTCAATAGAACTCTCTTCCAAATTATTTCTCATTGGAATTTGTCATCTCAGCACAGGATATAAACTGCTCAATACTGAGAAGTTGTATTGGCAAGTGATTTTTATAATTAAAGCCAAGCACTAAAACAATCACCAAATATCTGGCTAGTATTTTTATTCATATATTGCACATAGAATTGCTCATATTGTAAAGTGTATCATTCCTGTTTTGTTCAGAGTGATTCTGCATTTATTTGTATCAGTAACTGGCAAAGCAAAAGTCACTGCAAAAATAATACATCACTAAATTACATAAATGGATTTGGAGGACATCAAAGTCCCTATGGCTAAATTTGCAATTGTATACAAGGTTAGGCAAAACCAAACAACTTTTAAGTGGAACAATAAATGAAGTCACGTGTAAAGGTTTATGTGTTCCAACCCATTTGGTCACATCACAAAATATCCCAAACTTCCACAATAAGCAAAACACCTGAAATTCATGATGAGATCAGTGCTGTTGATAACAGTTTGATTCACAGATATTACTATTTAGAATAAATATTACATTTTTTATAATTTGAAGAATTCAATAAATGAACTTGTTCTTAAATCAGATTGAATAATCAATGTAAAATGCTTATTTTATTAAGTAGGTTTACTATAGTTAAAAGTTGCATCATTGTAATTTTTAATATTGAAATTTTTCTGCAGCATATTTTGATGAAATGCAGTTATAAATAAAAGTCAACAAGCTTCCAGCTGACTTTTCAGTGTTTCATTTTAATCCTTAAACATGTGGCATATGTTGTACAACTCTTGTTTAAACTGATGCAGAAATCAACAATTTGAGGCACTTTGAAAGCATTCTCTTGTCTTCAAATTTTTCAGGTCTGTATCCAATGGACTTCACCCAAATTATTCTCTTTACCAAGTCAAACAGCGCCCTCTGTTATTTTTGCACAAGGTCAATACAGACACACAGAAACTGCATTACCCACATTCTTCATAAGACCTTGGATGCTTGCTGAACTAGGAAGCCATACTTGGTGATACTGCGGTGGATACCAATGTATCCAGCTGCCCTGGATGTCACAGGTAGGATCATATCTTGACAAAAACCATCTCTTGTGATCGGTCCATTCGGGTTGTGAGGGGTATATCTGTATCCAATCGCATTCAAGAAGCTAACTACAAAGTCAAAGCAATTGTGACAGTCCTCATGGTATCTGCAGGGAAGAGAGACATAAAATATCAAAGGGTGAAAGAGAATAGGAGTAGAAATGGGGCACCTGTTCCATACAGGTAATGAACAGACAACTCAAAGTAGCATCCACAAAGGAGACAACTTCATATTTACCTCAAGTATCAAACTTCAACCAAGGGTATGCATGTATTGCTTACAAGCAGAAGAACAAGGCTTGGAAGTTGACTTAATTTTTAAGTTAAGTTTTAATAAAGCAGATCTTGTCCTTTGGTGATAACTACCAATATATCTTGGTCAGCAGCTGGCATTTAGTAGAGGACAACCAAGTGATATCTTGACACAAAGTGGCACGCCTTTGTTTGGAGGGGGATGGGAAACTTACTTGTCTTTCTTCCACTGAAGCTCTGTGGCTGTGTCTGCTAGTCTCTGATCCCAGCCGCTCTTCAAGTCTTCATCAGACTCCTCTAACAGAGGTACAGCTAAACACTGACACCAACGGTGGTATTCCTGCTGAACACCAGTCTCATCATAACTGTACACAGTTCCTGAAGTTGAAAAAGGGGCAAAATATCATACAATTAAATAAACATCAATAATTCCACAAGAAGATTCCAGACCACGTACATGTGCTTACCTTTTGAGGTAGTGATGCCTGCATGTAAATTATCATCCCGTTCATAGGATCTGTGAATAATGAGGGAATTCAGATTTTTAAACAGAGGGATGGATATCAAAAGAAGTTGGTATTAACTTAGATGATACTACTAAATATGTATATTTCCCCTTAACTTTTTTTGTACAATAAATGTTGAAATCTTTATCCATACTAACTGTAGAAAATCTCCAACTGTTGGCTTAATGACCACAGAGAATGGTACTCCACAGGCAGACACAAACGGTGATGGATATTGAGCCACAGGGGACTTCACGCTGGAAGCATCAACATCCTGACCACACAGGGGGCAGTCTGCCGGCAAATCAAAGACCAGTAGTTTGGTTGTTGGATGACACAGATGTGCAAAAGACTTAATTCTGTGTGATCTTGTCGCCATCAGCTGAAATGACAATTTTGGAGTGCACATGGTAGTCATGTCACCACTCACTAGACCAATTAATGCTCAATTTTTTCAAACCGTTGAACATGACAGTCTTCATTTTTACAATTTAAACTGAAAATCACCTAGGCCTAGCTTTATTCAGGTCATTATCAGGTGCAAAATGCCAAAGAAAAGTCTTTTTCAAACACAGAATTGAGATCTCACTTTTGGAAAGTAACATACTGAGGACCTTGTCTCTGAAATTTTGGGGGAATATTGTCTGGAAAGAGTTCCATATATGGACAACACTACTTTTCCCTTAAAATGTAACAACAGCTGTCAGAAAGTGATAACATGTCTCAAATAGTGAAGTTTAGCAAGGAAAATTTCAAACCATTTACTTAGAAAACACTTTGGTTTTTTCAGATAAGTCTTACATGTTTGTGCACGGGCATGACGGGGCATCAAGTGTTGTCCGAATACAGAACTCTTTCCTTTGTCAAAAGGTGAGCGAAATTGGCCTGATTTGTTTTTGCCTTTCGTGCACGAATTTGCCTGCACTCTAATCTAAGCAGCCTAAAGTTCTACTCAGAGCACTGATATGATATTATATTCTCGTCGATATAAAGTTCTACTCTGGCATGTCTGGTGCTACCCTGAATACGTACGAGAGCTGAAATACATTTGTAAAGTTTTGGATCAGCAATTGTGACACGCTCTGCAAAAAATTGTATTAATAAGTCCTGCAATGCCAAAACACGTAATTGCCTGTTCTTTTTGGAGAGAGCAAAATTTCTTCGAAAATGTGATTTTGTGTTCTGTCATGTCTATAATATTTCTATTTTCAGAATTTGTGACGACAAACATGGATACTGATAAATAAAGATGAAGAATGGATCATTCAGTGGGAAATCCTACCTAGCATTATGTTTCCAAGCACTACACTTTATGAGCATTTTCTCGAAAAGTGCTCTTATCCGAAAATGTGGATATACAAATGATTATACATGTACATGTATTTCCAGAACGCAGCGCACTGAATACAACGATCATTCGATACAGAATCCAGCCATATCAAAAACTCATAACCTGAGTCTGCATGGCGACTTGAAGGATATAACCCATTTTTCTAGAGTCGATCACAATTATAACCAACGTGTTTAGCCGAAGAGAATTTTCACATACATGCACATGTAGCGGCCAGTGTTATATGAGGTAGGCTTGTCAGCAAGAACTGCGCCGGTTATCATACTGTCAAGACTGTTGGAACTTGGTTTGTTCAGCGCGCGATCATCGGATCGGAGTGCTAATATAATCTACGTGTCACGCATCGCTCTAACTAACTGCACGTTGTTGATGTGGGGCGCCCTCGTGCAATTTCACTACAGTGGCCAAAGCTTCAAGCTAGCTAGCCTTCGTGAAACGGAACACCCCGTAAGTTAAATCTGTTACTGAAGTCAAGGAAATATCCAGCATTTGCACTTGTACTGTAGGTACCGTATGTTGACAAAACATCGAATGTCGGTGTTGTGTTATGTAAGGAGACTACATCCAATGTTGCTGAAGTACAAGTGTCGTATGAAATTTAAGTGCTCTAATTTCTAAAATTGTACAGCGATCTATTTTTAATATTCCTCACGCATGGCTTTTTAGCTGTTTCGGCGAAACAGCTCTTGGTTGCGTTGGAATTTCAGACAAATTAGAGGAAATTTTCCCTTATAAATAGTTTCAATAAATCGATTTGATCATTTTTCCAAAATGATAAAGATGAAAATGAAAATTCCAAAACAGCTCCGTGGTTGTCCACAACCACGTCCCTCTCGTTTTGTTTGTTTTAATTTTGTCCATTGGAGCTTGCACAATACAGCTACAAGTGAGGCCAAATTTCCAAACACTCCCAGTTTTATTTCATTTTCAATGCTTCAGTAAGCTGAATGTGGGAACGGGAACCTGCAAGTTTGACGACACCATGATGTTGAAGCCCAGATTGCAAACCAAATTTACTTGAAATTCATTTGTTTCATTCATTCATTGTTTTGAGTTTTAAAACAGTTACAGAATAACAGCACCAAGCTAAAGTGTTTGAAACAATCAGACGCCTCACAGTATTTCCTCAACACTTGGGAAGAGATGACCCCATCTGCATAGCACCACACCTTAATCAAGTGCACTGAGCACGAGGTCACGAGACCAGACTGCACACGCGTAGAGAGAGCTTGAGAGACTGCGTATGACGTCACGTTAGAGGGCATTTCTTTCAGTCTTCCTCTAGTTTGTTAGGCTCGAGTAAACTTTTTGTGCATTCATTGTCATTAAATCTAAGAAACAAAACGTCCTGGGAGGGCGCTTCCCGCAGGCCTCTATTTGCTTTTTCATTCATACATACAAAGCACATACTTCCTGAAAACCCGTGATCAACGTTTCAGTAGTAAATCCATAGTAACGTGCAGAGGGATCCGGGTGCCAGGCTTCAGACAGGGATTTCAATTTTTTTTCCAATGGCCGCGAGACATAGCAGGCATCTGTATCACATGTAAATTCTATGCAAGATGAAAAAAGCTGTGCATGTTTGTCGAAAGCAACTTCAAGACAGTATACCTTCAACTTCTGGGGCAGAGACTCAGCACACGAAACTTTCAGTACATGTACAGTTACACTATGGGTTGAAATAGCTTTCGATTTCCGTTCAAGTTTCGTGATCGGCATATTTAATTTCCTACATTTTTTTTTCAAAAAGTGAATCTGTGGCACGACTTCTTCCTGTATCTCTAAAATTTCAAGTTATTCAAACAGCAAAGTAAGACGCACAGACAACAACTGTGGATACACCAATTTCTTTATCCGTTTAAGTCCATTCATTCTACGGATCTTAAGGAACAAATTGAAACAATTTACAGACCAGAAAGCTACATAGCTTCCACATTCATGCAATAATGAAGGTATTCCAATGCCAAACATGAAGCTTCAAATGTTTAATTTTCATAAACATCAAAAGACGGGACTTGTCACTGCTTTACCAATCTTAAATTTACTTCTAATGGTGGAAAATTGCTGCACCATACGGTTTGGAAATGACGACCCTAGGATTTAGCTTTCTATGTCGTCACACTGAGGCCATTTTTAAAACGGGTTTGAAGTAAATAAGGAACCGGTGTTTTAATCATTCAAAGCAATAACGAGGAACAATTTGGTAAGGGTACCGTCTTACGCCAAGCAGTTCATACGTGCAATGTGTTTGAAAATCGGCAAAACGTTGCTTGCAACAGTCTCAAATTAAAATGACACCTTCTGCCAGCAACAAGATACATGTATACATTTTGTTAGAACAAATACCGTCATCCTCAGAGAAACACACAATTTTAGGCATTGAAGTTCTCCAAAATCAGCACAGTCGAGTCTAATCTTGCCACTACCCTTATTTCAAGATGCATGTATCGTCATTACTGCTTATTCCCTCGTGACTTTACGGTACACATGTGATTCAATGTTTTATTTGTACATTGTTAAGCCAACTGTTACATCCAAACTACTTCTACAGACAGTGATGGGAAAAAACACTGCTAGATAATATTCCAGACCACGTGACTTCCACCAATCTCTGAAAGCCAATGAAAAGACCAACATTTCAGCTTTATTCAAATTTTAGCACAATTTACTTGTTGTTTGACAAGACTTTCTAGGCCCTCTTGTTTCGAGCCTCCATTCTGTATAATAAAAATCTTCTGGTCCTTACAGCAAATCAATTAGTTTTAAATACAACAAATTATTTAATTCCAACATGAATGTATCATCATTATAACATCTACTGCCTAAATTTCTTAAAAACGGAAACAATTTACTGTGCAAGGTAGATCCAATGAACTGAATGACCTTTAGAAACGACGTCAACATCTATTCTGCCTACCAGGACTCATTTGTTTATTCTAATAAACAGTCTGTAGCAATTAAATGGGGACCAATGTATCAACAATGAACAAGAGCACTAGACATGTATATCAAGTTGATAGACTGTTAAATTCAGCAGGTTGGATTTGTACCCGGGACAAGTTCATCACTGATACAGAAAGGTGATATGGGAATGGGTAAGTATGGAAGCAAACAGGCATCAAAATCCTACTCCTATCAAAGTTGACTGCAGGGTAGTTGTACAAAATCCAAACAGAAATGTGGATTTAGAAGGTATCAAGCAACAATTGCTCACTGTCAAACAATATATAAACAGCACATTAACTATCACAAGAGCTGGTATTTGGATCAAAAGGAGTGACCACCTAAGGATCCAAAACTGACCACAAGATGTAGCAAAATGCGACCGAAACGAATGTCACTAAAAAAAAAAAGAAATCAAGACAAACGACGAAAAAGAACATGCAACTGTAGTCTTCCTGGGTGAATCCCAAAGCATGTTACACAGTTGCACCCGTAACTCCATACACCATGCCAACCAGAACACGAAGCAGATCACAAAAGTTAGGCCGAGCAACCTATCAGTCTTGCCTTAGCTCAAACCATTTGGTTGATTTTTTTTTCTTTTTGTAGCTTAAAAATGATAGGTAGTATAATAGAAGACAATTTATTACAATAGTACAAGTCAGTCACTAATATCTAGCACTAGTATACATGAACACCAAGCCAATTGAACGTGAACACTACTATAATCTTTAGCAGTAAGAATATCCTTTCAATTTGTATGGCTACATAGTTTTAACACTTTTGTAATTTTCGTCTTAATACAATACATATTAAGCCTGTTTTAAGTGACCCAGATCATTTAGCGATGAAAGCAAGCGTAGTACACAGTGCTCAGAACCACTGTTACTGACTGGTCCTTTGAGCTACCAACACGGGGCAAAAACATTCCTGTGGGCGACATCTGTCAGCTCAAAAATGTTTTTATGCTCTTTGGTTTGCAAACAGCGAGATGTTAACCATGACAAACGGTCTACACTATCAATTCATCTTAGTCGTGTTAGGCTTTGCTTGGGTAAAATATGTACTACACACTACGACTTAAATTAAGTAAATACCATTCTGCCTGCTCAGGCATTCACAAGGCAAGCACTTCTACTTTCTATTTTTATTTTGTTGGCAGGTTTTTTTAGTTGTACTTTTTATATTTTAGTTGGGAGAACACACTGAACACCAGAAATCTGGAAAATTGACAAAGAAAGTGCTGTCATTTGGATGACGAACCAGTGAAGAGAGCCATGATTGGCCAGTGTCAACTTGTGTATTTCCTGTGTTGTTTTCATAAACAACGGAAGAAATTGGTTTCTCAGCTAATATCAAAAGATTTTTATGATATTTGCTAGCCAAAATTTTCTTTCCTCCTGTTCTCTGAAAGTTACTCAGTCACACTTTAAAGTGTTTTAGGCATGAGAGGCAACTAATTTTCACTGAAGCCAAAGGCATCTTTGCTATGTTTGTAGGAAGAAATGATGCAACACAGCCAGAAATGACACAGGAGTGTAGATTGTCTTCTTAGTAAATCCGTTTGACTACACCTTAAAAACAAATCCAACAAATGTTTCATTTGAACCTGATAATGCTAACTGGGCATTTCCTTTTTTTTTTTTCAATTTTTCCTCTTTTCTTCATTTTTATGATGATCAACACTGTGATGTAAACAAGCTCATATCTACGGTGATACACGCGATACAGTTTCTCTGATGAAAATTGAGAAACACTGCTGAGGAAATTTACAAAAAAAGAAAGTTACACTGTTGATATTGATCAGTCGTGCTTTAAGGTAAACTGGAGACTGTTCTGAGCATGAGCAAAAAACGTTTGTGGGCACTAACACACTACAGTTACTTGAAGCTGGAGAGTTAGTCCGCGTCCACTTGGTCGTCATCGTCATTACCATCTGACGTCCACAACTGGAGTAAGAAAACAGAAAACCCATTGTCACATTGCAAGTTGTAAAAAACACTTTAAGCCACTGGGTATGACTGGGGAAGAAAGGACCTTTGATGATAACGCTTTAAGGCCCATCCAAACTATTTAACCAAAGCAGAGAATACCACAAGCCCCATGGAAATTGCTGGTCAGTAGTGTTAGCCATAAATGAAACATTTATTGCTGAATTTTTTTGATTTCTAGCCAGTGTCAGCTGAACTTATTTTTCACACTTCCGTTCATTAATTTTGCATTTGCACTACATTGAACTTCCCTTTGACATGTTTAGAAAGATCAAAACTCAAAGCAATGTCCATCTGTAAAATGTGAAACAATGTCGCCATATTGTTACATGTAGTTCATCGTATGCATACTTGCCGCTCATGAAATGATGAGCACAACTGGTTCCCTATTTAGGCTCTCTTAAGATAACACGAGTTGCATGGGAACCAATGAAGTCAGCTCCTCACAGACTGAAGTTCCACATACATGTATTTTAAAGGACACTGTGCCCCCTCTGTGTAAATCAAATCGTTGTATCAAGCATATGACAGTATGGAGATTGGAAAGCCCTGTTAGTTGTGCATTTTGCATTGCACAATATGCGATTTACTATAGAAAGTGCATAACATGTGGTCAATATTGGATCATAATATGGGATGAGATACAGGAGAAATCAACCACTGCATAAATGTGCATGTAACTGCCACCAATCACAACCATAGGAAAGCTGTGGCCAAAGAGTGAATACAGAGAAACATCTCACTGCTCAGAATAATCCAACTTCGTTTGGAACACGTTTGAACAATGCCACTAGAACACATGTGTGATGCAAAAATCCATCAAAAATCCTCCAAATCCTCCCATGAAAAATTTGGATATAGCCTCAGTCCTCAAAAAATCTCTGAAATTCCTGAATATGTTCTGTGGAGGAGTCTTTCAAAATCCTCAGGCAATTCCTCTCATTATGTTAAGGCAGTGTGAATGGTATCCTGGAGCAGTATGGAAGATTTCATTTATACTATGGGCATGAATTTATGCATGACTGAACATGAACACAATGTCTAACCTACAACCTTGAGACAATGCATCCATCCCAATTAGCATTGCAATTTGGCCACATTGCCTCAATCCTCCAAAATCCTCCAAAACCGGCCAGTGGATTTTGAAGGATTGAGGATGGTTAGGGTTAAGTATTCCCAATAAAAAAAATGAAATTTTCACTCAGTTACTTTAGTGCTCTTGATAAAAACTGTGTATGTGTTTCAGTGAAATGAGTTGAATTAACAGCTATTTCGTGTACATGGGGGGAAAAAGCTGATTTACCGTGAGATTGTCTCTTAACAACTGCATGATGAGCGTGCTGTCTTTGTAGGAATCCTCCTTCAAACTGTCCAGTTCGGCAATCGCATCATCGAAGGCCTGTAATTAAATTAAAAACCATTCCCAAGTCACTGAAAGCTCGCTGAAGGTGGAGCATGGATTCCAATGTTAACAGAAAAAATTGTGTCTGACAGTCTTTGGTACTACACTTGAAGCAACAGAACACAACTTGGAAAATTCTAGTACAGTCGAACATGGTTAATACGAGCTCCAAGGGACTCCCCAAAACTTGTGTTACATGTGTTGACACTTATCTCATTCATAAAGCGCAAGGCTAGCATCATGCACCAGCAAGCATTGTTACGCACTATGGCAATGTACTGTATGGTACAGTATATGCAGTGGATTAGTATTCGATGTACATGTACCAGCCTTTAACTTTTTAATAAATTTAAAATTGCATTTATTAATATGATTCAAATGATTAAACCAAAGGTTTCGAATGCTCCTACTTGTTTGACGCGACAGCAGAGAACAATGGTGTAAGTGGCTGTCCGCCTCGCGCCGTACAGCGTGGCAAAGCGCGACCTGGAAACTGGTACCTGATGTTGCACTTAAATACAAGTAAAGGTTTCTTAAACTTGAGAACCAGTTCATGCGTGTAAGGACCGGACGTAAGAGGGCATTGAAATTGGGGAATTTCTGTTGGTTTTTGATTGACGGGAGGGAATCTATTTTACAGAAATGTTCTTTTAATTTATGGAACAGTAACTTTCATTCTTAATGTGCCACAGGGTTGCGCGAATTTAATTTAATTTGCGCGTAAATTTTTCTCTCATAGGAATGTGTACATTTTGAACGGGACTGAAGAAATATGCTGGTAGTAAGCGCAATCTCATCTCAAGCGTGCTTGTGTTAATCGTGTTCCACTGTACATGTACTCACTTTTTTCGCAAGAGTGCAAGCCTCAGAAGGGTTGTTGACAATTTCATAGAAAAATACTGAGAAGTTTAGCGCCAGTCCCAGACGGATTGGATGTGTCGACGGCAAATGTTGTTCACTTAATTGAAACGCCGTCTGGTAGGCATGTTGTGATTTCGTCTTCGTGTCTTTGAGAGTAGAAACAAAAAGACGGATAAAGAATTCTTGTAAAATAAAGGATAGAAAAACAGGCAAAAGAAATAAAATAGTTGTGGCTACTCACTTTTCCAAGCTAAATTACACAATGTCCTAGATCCTCTGCACCCCATCTACGTATATATACGTATATATATCTTACGAAAGCACCTCTCAACCTCAATTCATGTGATTCATGGGTAGTTCTACAGTATTCTATACTTTAAACAAACCTCTTTTCGCAGTTTCTACTCTAGAGCAACTGGATGAATCGAAGTATTTCCAATACTAAGTTTATTTACATGTTGTTTGCTTACTGAATCAACAGAATAAACCAGCCACTGTTCTTAAAAGAGATTCAGCTGGATTGATTGACCTACTAAATCTTACTTGACTCTACAGTGTTCTCATCTAGGTCACAATCCTTAAGTTTTCAAAAGTTCTCTCACCATATAGCAAAACACCTGTGTGATTGACCTACCATCTTTCGAGCTTTCGCTTGCAACCTCTGCCAGGTACCGGTAGTAATCCCCCTTCATTTTCAGGTAAAATACTTTACTGTCTTGCTCTGTGTTGGACGATGGCGTCACCAGCAGAATTTTTTCTAGCAACTCCTGCAGCAAGGAAAAGAACACGGGAACAAATTTTTTGAGGTCTACATACATATAAATGCAAATATGGACTTTCCATCATAGGACATGCTGGAGGGAGTAAGTGTATTTATACTTCATGATCCTGAAGGCCAGTGGGCTGAAGGATCGAACAAACTCTGAAACAAGAATTGACACTCTTGAATGTTAAAGTTGCAAATACAGTCAACTCTCGGTAATACAAGCTCCAGTAAGATGAGACTCCGGTTTAGACCAGCATATTTTGCCAGTCTTGCCTGAATTGTGCACATTCCTAAGAGGGAAAAAAATGTGTAACACGAGCTCGGATGTTACGAGATTTCGACTACCGAGAGGATTTTTTGCACCCTGGCTGAGTGCAAGTCTACTGTTAGCTGTCCACTTAGCACAAGCTTTTTTGAAAGCAACTTGTCAATCAGCCAAGTCCATTCAATTTTGAAAAATGCTTCTGTAATTTATGCGTGTACACTAGAACATAGCTGCAATTTTCCCTCACCGAATCAAGCCAGTTGTGTCCGGTGCTGCGAAAGAAACAAATAATGGGCATTTGCAGTTTCAGTACCCAACATAGAAATTCTTCACGGTGGCTCTCGAACCGCTTGAACCCAAGCGAGTGCTGCCAAAGTTATGACAGTGGTGAACAAAAGAAAGCTTTCGCTTTATTTCCCCCAGGAAACTAATAAAAATTGTGTTCCATAACCAAACACCCGGCCCCAAAAACTGCCTACCCCTCGTCGAAAAAAAGGGTTACCGTTCCCCAACATAACATGAAAATATTGCCCCTTCTGTTTTTGACATTTCTATAAATTCTCAATATAAGAAAATCATGGCTAAACCATGGTTTTCAGTCTAAAAATGTTACGAAATAACATCGACATGTTTTGAAGAAAAAAGTGCATTCCTCGCTAATAATTTTTCTCTAAAACCCACTGGCCTGTCTGAAGTAAAATCCGATATTCACCCTCTGCTGTCCATGCCACCAATACCTGGTTTCCTCTGAATTTTTATGTGCAACAAGCGCGGCTCTGGTGTTGGTTTCCCACTAAAATGTTAATGTATATGTGCGTGCGTGCGTGCGTGCGTGCGTGCGTGCATGCATGCGTGCATGTGGATCTCATCATGGTCTGCGGGGCCAGAGACGTGTGATACGTCATCACTCCAAATCGACATGACTAGTGGAAATTTTGCTTCCTCCGTTCTTACATTTTATAATTTTTCTTTATGACAAGTCTTTATTCATTAACCACTTCATGCCAGGGCATTTTTCAATATTGATGACGCTGGGCCGGCCTGAA